CTACATAGCTGCTGTCCAAAATTGCCTCGTAACTTAGCAACTAACTTGCTCCTGCTATTGGTCCTAGACCCTCTTTAATGTTACCATTTCTTGAGCTTTTCCCTTTCATTATCTGTATATATTTCAAGTATTCCTCCCCCGAGACAGTGCTTTAAGACTTGGTTTTGGCCTTTTATAGGCTATCTCTCTAATCTCTACAGAAATCTCACCAGCATGGCTATAGCTCATTCTGACTTAGATCTATCACCATATCACTTAGCCCAGCTGTTACTTCAGTAAGGGTAATTAGCAAGGAACAATCATCCTTTGGTCATTAGCAATCAGGATCCAAACACAGTATGCTAGAGCAACATAGGTAAAAGATCTAAAAACCAGCCAATCTCCATCACATATTTAAGTTATGATTTTCACACCAAGTGTAAATGCAGTTTATATAAAACTTCATTTATTTGTAATAATGTGCTTCATCCCAGGACAGCAGAAAAGTACACAAAATAATGCTCCATTTTAATAGAATCAGAGAATGCTTGGGTTGGAAGGGACCTTAAAGATTATCTGTTGCAAACACCCCTGCCATGGACAGGGACACCTTTCACTAGACCAGGCTGCTCAGAGCTCCATCCAACCTTGAGGACTTCCAGGGATGAGGCATCCACAACTTTTCTGGGCAACCTGTGCCAGTGCCTCACCAGCCTCACAGTGAAGAAATTTCTGGGTTAATGCACTGCTACCAGCAGTTGCAGGAGCAGGCAGCTACACTTGCTGCAAAGGCAGTTGTTGAACAGCTGCCTGTCTCCATTGCTGGGTTTTGTCCAAGAGCAAGGAGGAGTTGCATGCTTTAACCTTCATTTATGGACCAAAGAGACCAAAGGCTTTGCTTATGTTTTCTTTCACTGTTGCTACTGTCTTATCTATTTGGTATCTTAGATATTTATACAGTACACAGACTTCTAGCACCTTGCAACTCCCCCCTCCATATTTGTATCTGTTTATATGTGATCTAGTGGCTTGTTTTATTCAGAAATATTTGAGTACCTCAGGGTCTTGTGGTTTTTCTGCATGTGGTGATGTACTAACAGTGTACAAAAGTATTTAAATTGCTACTTGAAATACAATTTGTACAAAAACTTAAGCAAGCATCAATCAGAAGATTGATATGAAACCTCCATATAAATAAGCCTTTAACTTCAGTCAACAAGTAAAGGCTTGCAAGGGAGCCTTTGGTCATATTTTAATGCATTGAACACTGTTTTATTAAGAAATACATTAAAGCCTCATTAAGAACACACTGAAAAACAACCCTTGCCTCATCCAAATCTCTCTACAACCTGGCAAGGACAAGAAAGCTTGGAAACAATGTTGAAACTACAAATAGCATATTAAAAAAAATCCAAAAGAATTTTTTAAATGTCATATTGAAAATTCGAAGATAGGAATTGCTAAGGAAAATGAGCTGAGTGCCCAAGTACAGAGCATTTTTTTTTTTCTTTTTTTCCTGCTAGGTAACAGCAGAAAAAGAAAATACCTTTCAAAAGGCTGGCTTTCAAGTAAATGGAGATGAGGTTTCTATTGAACATTTATCTTTCACAGTGAGCATATTTTTGCTTTGTTAGCTGATGACTACCACTGTTTATCAGACATTCCCAACCCTCCAGTTAGCTGCACCTTATGAATCACCAAATTTATAACTTGTCAGGCGTGGTCTGATACCTCAGGGCAAACTGGGACCCTGTTGCAAACAAGACACGTTAACTGCTTAAGCAGCTCAGCAGACAATATGTTGTTAAATGTGCTGAAGTCTTTGAAAACATTTTTACTGTAGTAAAAAGGGAGAGTAATATTAGCACAGCTTTTTTTGAGAGCTGTAGTTTGGGCATGCCCAAACCAGATTATTAAAAATGAAACAATTCACATACAGGAGGATGCTGCAATGCAGAGACTGGAAGATGGCTAGAAGGATTAAAGAAATAAATCAACTCAGTTTATTTTTAAACATGTCTCTTTTTAGAGGGAATGGAAATACTAACATCTCTGTGATAATTTTCCTATGGACTTTTGGAAGCATGAGCTGTATTTTGTACTTTCCCCCCTGCAATTTCCATACAATTTGAGTTCCTTCTGAAAAAACTTCTCAGAGCCCAGTCCTTCTGAGTGGTGGTGCAATGTAACACATGAGACAAGGTAACTAACTACATTAAAAAACCCACTGAACAAAAAAGTAAAATCCACATGCAAGATCCACACTAGGTGTGCTCAGTCTCTTCTGAGCACCAGCAGAGGTCTTTTTTTTTAATAGGCACATGTCTCTTTATTTAGGTCTCAAATGCTTGGTGAAGAGCTTTGTTGCTCAGACAAGAAATGGTTAGGTCCTTGGTTTAGCTGGAGTCAAGGAACAAGAGGGAACTGTGCATGTAAATCATGAGGCAATGGAATTTACTTCTTTTAAAGGTGTGACATAAAAGATTTTAAAAGTCTTCTGCCACTATGTGGATCTGGTTGTGGTAAGTAGCCTTTAAAAGGAGCTTCTGAAGTTGCCTTTGTATTTATTCATTTCTCGCATCACTGGGAGAACTTTATAAGTGTATAAAGCATAGTATACCTTTGCCACAACAAAACAGATCCTGGGTAAAGAGAGGAGAATGACTTGGAGTGACATTATTCTGGATAAAATCACAATTAAAAGAGACACATTTAATAGCCGCCTATTCATGAAGTAACATGCATTCCCAACAGTCCTGCACAAGAGGACTACAGGGTTTCTAACAATGGACAAAGACCAAAGCATGCTGGAGATTAAAGTGTAAGCAGTATAAATGCTGAGTTTTCCCTTCATGCTGAGAAACCTGCCCTGCTTCCCTTCCCGACCCCTGCCAAGACAACTATTACAGTCTCTGTCGCTTCTGATGCAAACCCTGGAGCCCTGCATACAAGCTGGATTTGACCAAATTCGTTTACTTGTTATAAATATGCCACTGTTATATTCATGTACCACACAGCTCTGTTTAAAGTTCTCACAGAATATGTGCCACTTCCCCGCAGGGAAAAAAACCAAACCACAATCAAAACAACGCACCACCCTTCTTTTTCCCCCTCGCTACATTTTTACTCGTGCAGCAAGAAGAGACTGTTCGTGAGTAGTATTACTCATGCCTCGCATCAAGCTGATATAACTTCAGAATACAATGGGGAACTTAACTAAGAGTTTGACAGGGTACGTACGTATCAGACGTGGGGTATTTGAAATATTACACCACACTGACATGCCTCACTACAGGGATAAACATTGGCCCAAGGTTGATATTCACTACAATATTTTGTTACTCATTTCCAGTATTTTGTTTTCGATACCGGCTGGGCACCCTCCCAAGAAAACCAAAATCTTCTTCCTTGGAACGGGCAGATTTCAAAGGAACACTATGCAAACACTGGCTGTCTTCCTCTATGATTTCTATGTAGTTACAACATTGCATTTTGAGGATCAGGGGTGACTGCTCTGACATAGAACTTAAGTGTAAAATAATCAACACTACTGCTTTAAAAGGTTTAGCAATAGGGTAAAAAAGATGTTTTAAGCCAAAGGAAGCTTTCCTAACAAAGACACAGCAGGCCATCTATCTCCAGGGGACTATGCATCTTTTTCTGCTTAAAGCGACCCCCAAAACTCCAGGCACATAATTGATTGTAAATGAACTTTCTATTTAGAGACTAAAGGAAATGTGTTGCTTATACAGAAATCTTTATTCTAAAATTAAAAAAACCCCTAACACCCAACAACAAAAACCTCAACAACCTTTAAATTCAAGATCTATATAAAGGAAAAATAATTAAAAAGAAAATATTAGTATTTGAAACTAATAAACAATTTCAAAATATATTAAAACATAAAAAAATAATTTTACTGTGTACTTATTCCTTGAAAAGAGACTCTAAATAGCAGATTTGTTATATAGTAAATTGTCTTGCAGAGTTTTGAAAATTTTTAGAAATCATAATAGCCTGATTCCTGAAAACTCAATGGAGAGATGCAAAACTAAATCTTGCTCACATCTTAGTAGTTCAAGAGAACTAGTTACAGGAATTTACCTAACTTTGCTGATAAAACCCTGAAAACCCAAAGCACATGAAAAACTTCACCAATTTTCCTGTGCAAGTTCTGCAGATGGCAGCAAGAGTAAGAAGAGAAAAGTCCACTAAAGCAGTATGACTCAAAACATCTTGAAGGTACTGTTAATAGCTGCTTGGAGCTAGGATTTCACCATTTTAGGAAAGGTCATTTAAGTGAACATTCACAACTAGGAGAAGTGTTATTCTAGTAAACCAAAACATTTGTGGTTAGTAAAATTGAAGCAGATTTCGTATCTACATTAAAAATATGTTTCCATTTGTCAACTTGTGGTTTTAAGTACAACTCTACAAATTCTGGGAAATGAATGATGCAAGCAACACTTCCAATAGAGAAAGGGCTAGACTGCATGGGATTTAATAGTAATAAAATACTTGAAGCAAACAATTTGTCTAACACATACCAGTGAAAGAGAGACTGCTCCCTTGCGGATTTTTACTGAAAACAAGGAAGACAGCAAAATAAGACAAACTCAGGATACTCCCAGTAACATATCACAAATAAATACAGTTTTGTAAGAACTCTGGATCTCAATTTGTTCTGCAAAACACAGAGAAGTTTTGGTGCAACTTGAGCTTTCTAGCAAATGGAATGATTCTCAATTTCCTTCTCCAGAAAAAAATTCTTAAAGAACATTCTGTCTTTGCTATGTAAATGAGGAAAGTCACAGGAGAAACTCACAACTAGTGCTCATACAGACAGCCTCTTACTCATACATGCTCTCAATAGAAATGGACTTTTCTTGAAAGCAAATTAGGGCTGGAGCTCAACTTCAGCTTGCAAATTGACTTAGAGAGTGTGAGAGATCTAACATTTCTGAATTTTTTTTAAATTCTTTTTTATTTCTTTTTATACCAGGCAGGAAATGAACAGATACATGAGATTAGGTCAGTTGGTCAGAGCATGGTGCTAAGAATGCCAAGGTTGTGGGTTTGATCCCCATCCAGGCCATTCACCTAAGAGTTGGACTTGATGATCCTTGTGGGTCCCTTCCAACCACAAATATTCTGTGATTTCTAGATCACTGGGAGCTACTGCAGGTTTTCACATCTGAAGTGCTTCTATGGTAAAACAATCTCATTTATTTTTCACTTGCATCTTTTGACAGAGCTCTGCAAATTAAAAATCAAAGCAGAAAAATATAACTGTACATGTAGAATTGCTTCTGATTCCAATTAGAGGCAACATACAGCATGATACAGAGTCTCCCATCAAGAAATTTGGAGAATTGCCAGTTTGGAGCTCTTATTTATGACTTCAGTGATCATTTGACTCTCAGCATTCAAGGGATGTGCATTTGCAGCCCAGAAAGCCAATTATATCCTGGCTGTATCAAAAGCAGCACGGCCAGCAGGGTGAAGGAGGTGATTCTGCCACTCTGCTCTGGTGATACCAAACATGGAGTGCTGCATCCGCCTCTGGGGTCCCAAAATAAGATGGACATAGGTCTGCTTAAACAATTCCAGAGGCCAGGAAGATGCTCAGAGGGCTGGAGCACACCTCCTATGAAGACAGGCTGAGAGACGGGGCTGTTCAGCCCGGAGAAGAGAAGGCTCTGAAGAGACCTTGGAGCACCTTCCAGTACCTGAAGCGGGGCTGCATGAAAGCTGGAGAGGAACTTTGTACAAAGGCACGTAGTGACAGGACGAGGGTGATGGCTTTAAACTCAAAGAGTGTGTTTAGATGAGGTATTAGTAAAATGTTCTTTACTGTGAGGATGGTGAGGCACTGGAACAGGTTGCCCAGAGAAGCTGAGGATGCCCCATTCCTGGCAGTGCTCAAGGCCAGGCTGGGGCTCTGAGCAACGTGGTCTATGAAAGGTGTTCCTGCAATAGCAGGAGAGCTGGAACAAGATGGTCTTTAAGGTCCCTTCCAACCCAAACCATTCTGTGATTCTGTAACAGATTCTTGCCTGTACCAAAATGCTCGTTCATTGAGTTTAGATCACTTTGTCAGATTTGTGTTTGGAAATATATGGAGGGATTTTCTAAATTTTTGGAAAGCCAATAAATACATATGGTATATACAATGAGACACTGTTAAAACTTCAGAGTAAATGAAAGATTTTGTGTCTATGCACATAGACTGGGAGTAACAATCTTTTACACAATACTTGAAGACTTTATGGACTAGGAAATAGTAATTATGTTCTATTTATAGTGTATTTTTCCTGAATGACACATTGACTTTATTCCTTGCTTAAACACTCATCAGTAAGTGCTGGTTTGCCGACACTTTGGTAATTCCAAGATGCTGGTGCTCTATAATCTTTCACTTCCTCCTTCCACCTGCCCTAAATAGAAATTTATTTGCACAGTATCTGTTTTTAGCAGGATAGACCCTATGTTTAAAATTAGTCTTAAATACTTATTTTAGCAACTATTTGTCAGATGCACAAGCCTGCAGGCCAACATGTACTGATTCCATGGACATATATAGAATCATCTGCCTTGGGAAGATAATACCAACAGCAAAGTCATTCTAAAAACTGAATTATTGCTTGTCTAATTTGAGAAGGTGTCCAATCCTGTAACTTAGTATTAAAAAATAAATAATATTTAAAACAAGTGAAATTCTTGAGTATAAATTCATTAATTTAGAGGGGCTATTAAGTTAGTCTACAATAATAATTTTCCTTATATTATTTCTCTTCAGTGTCTTGGAGGGGCTATAGACCTTGCAAATTCTTAGCTTAAAAGACTTGCTATGAGCAGTGACTTACCTTCAACCAAAGAGACCATTTTCAAATCAAAAAGTTACTTTTATAATGAAAACACATCATATTCTATGAAAAATTCAAAATTCTTTATTTCAGGCCAGTTACAGTATTGTTACAGGCATCTATCTCTTCCTCTGAACTTGTACATGATCAAAGTTGGCACTTCCAACCACAAAAATGTTAAATGGTTATTACAGTACAGGCACAAAGTAGCCAAAAAGCTTTACTTTTATTAAGCAAAGCTGTTATTGTGCTCTAACAGCATTTATCACCAGTGCACAAACTGAGCTCCCCTCCTAAGAGCAAGCAGGAAAAGGGAAATTTCCCTCAAATGAAGGAACACAGACAGCAGCTCTGCTACTAAAACAGTAATTCTGAAACAGTCAGTGGAAGAATGACAGATACCTGGATACACTGGACATCTTTCTTCACTGCTTTCAGTGGCACTTCCTGATTCACGTAGGTTTAACATCTTTACAGGTGTCCACTGCTGCTTCAATTATTATAATCACTATCAGTGTTCCACATTTGAAGAATCAACATGATTTTTAAAAAAATGAAACAATAAAGCCTCCAGAAGACTGTTGGTACTGCAGTTCTCTTGCCTAAGAGCCTGCTTCATAACCATCATTTAAAATCTCTTTCCTTTCTAGAAGCATCATTTCCCTTTCATCAAGAAGGCAGCACCTGAGACACTTTGTATCACCTAACTACAAATTAACACAACCAGTGCATGTTACCGCATTTCCAACTTCCAGTTACAGTGGTAAGGAAAGCAATTAGCATATGGAATGAGTATCAGATACTTGTGTGTACCAAAGGCAAGTTAGCCACAAAAATCTCTACAAATACCTTACAAACAAAACTAGCAGCAAACACCGCTATCTTTACACAGGACCGTTCATGAACACAACTGATTGGGCAGCCATCTGGAAAACAAGCTGATAGCTATGTTACAAAAATAGCCAAACAAATATTTGATCATAGTGACTGTACAAACAAGTGTTAGAGGGAGGGAAGTAAGCATGATTCAGTTAGCACAAACTCCACTTATACAAGAGTGCCTCCAAGCCACAGAACATGTAGCTTCAGTTTTACACTAATAATAAATACTTCAGTCCAATACATGCAACTGAGTCTGGCCAATGTGTCTAAGCAGGCAATGGAACATAATTCCATTGGTTTTCTCTACAGCATGAGGGCCAATCCATTGGCAGGAATGCCAGTCTTTGCCTATACAGGACGCTTGGCAGCAGCAGGTGCCCTGCAGCTCAGAAAGGAGGGAGACGGCAGAAGTGATTCCATCAGAGGTAAGGTTCAACGTATGCAAGGTATGCGCACAGTTTGTTTTTAGGCACGTCTTTGGTTACATTCGCAACACAGTCTGCTTTATAAAATAATAAATAAAACAGTCAAAATTTGGTTAAAATCCAGGTAAAGATTAAAAACTTCCTTTTTTCAGAAACTCAGGCAAAGAAGTCCTTTTACATTCGTGTTTTGCTATATCCATAAACGATAAAATCCCAGTGCTACTGTAAGGCATGTAAATACTGAACCTGAAAGAAAATAAAGATGGGGAAGAAAATGGCATTAATATTGACATTAAATAACATTAAATCAATAGTTCTCAAAACATCTCTTCAGAAAGCTATGTACACATCTTACTACAATACTGAAAGTTCAACAACTTCCCCCCTCCCATGTGACAGATTAAGGCTTTCATTTACAACAAACCATTTCAAGGTAGGAAGAGTATAAAAATGATAAATAAGAAGGAGAGGAAAAAAAAAAAGAATGTTGGAAACTATCAAAAGGCTGAAAGAAACCCTTACTTGCTTAGCAATCCAAAAAGATCAATATAGCAAGTTACAGATGTAAAACAAGGAAATAAATAATGGGACTAATAAAACACAATCAAGTATATAGCAATCAAATGAATGAAAGCCGTTTTTAACAAGGCTTATCAGTTTTACATCTTTAAATTTTCTACTTAAATGAAATCAAGTTTTGATTTCAAGACGTACTTTTGCCTTTTCTTGCAACAGGAGCACTTCAAACACAATGCAAATTATTTTAAATTATTTTTTTCCATGTAGAGTTCAACTTGATTTTGAGTAGGAATGGTAGGGAAAAGAATTTCCTCTCATTTTAATAAAGCACCTTTTATTTTCCATTTTATTGGTTCTCTCTAAATGGTATCTCTGAAATACAGTAGTATTAGGCTTAAGTGACTGTACTTTTGACAAAACCCACTGTGAAAAAATATTCAGAAAATCTAAATGAGAGTAATTTTCTACTGCAAACTTCATTTAATAGTACTGCACACTCAGTAGTAAAATGTCAAAATGTTAAAGTTACCTAGGGCAATAATATAGGCATATATTATAGTATTTTCAATATAGGCAAGTATGTACTATTTTCTCCAAGCACTTGTGTAAATATGGAAGTTTAAAGAATATGTGGCCTTGAATAGTCAGAAAAACCGAAATATTCCTTTTTGCACATAGATCTCCATCAGATGGATGAAGAAATCCTAGTAATGCATGCAGTAGGCTCCTTACATAAATTAAGTCAGGCGCAGAAGAACTTTTTGGTCCTTGTTAACAGTCAGTCTTTTAGATTTCTCACACATATTTGTTATTAATAGTATAAAGGACAAAAGCCTGAAAAAAGCCCATGCAAAATAAAGTTATGAATTATAGGAAATTTCTTCTGAGTTAAGTACAGAAATAAGGCTGCTAATCTTGCCTATGATTATTTCAAGTTTGGTTTTGTTTTTTTTATAATCAGGGCCTTTATAAATACAGCCAATTGAGAGTTTGCCAAACATTTAACAATGTTTGGCAGTTTCACCATCAGAGACAACCACCAGATTCCTTACCTGCTAAGTATTTAATATTATCAAGTTTGTGCGATTCGAGCATTGTTTTCAGATCCGCAACTTCTGTGTCTATTTTTCTGTCAGTTTGGGTCAGAGCTCGGTCTTGTTGTGCGTGCTAAAAAGCAAAGCAACAAAATTATGCAATTTGAACACTTCCTAGTTTATTTAGAAATTTAACCCATCCCTTCAAGTTGTATTTTTGTTTCCTCCTTAAATGCATGTTCATTTGTATTCTTACAGAAGTTACAGAATATTTGGGAGTGGAAGGGAACCACAAGGATCGTAAGTCCAGCTCTGCAGTGAATGGCCTGTACAGGGATGGACAGGATGGCCTGTACAACCTTGGCATTATT